AATGTTCATAATACATGTATTTGCATGTTCTTTGGCAGTGAATGTTTAGTTTTGATAACAGATATTCTTCAAATAGCAGTTGTCATCCTTGATTCCTACTTGCTTTATGCAGTAGTTTACAGTAAAACCTCAGATAACTCGAATTCCCCAGTAACTCAAACTAAATTTCCCTTCCCTTAGCTTTCTAAATTTCAATGAAATTTATCCTGATAACTCAAATTCCTTACTAACTCAAACAGTTTTTCATTTCCCTTCAGAGTTTGAGTTACTCCTGGGGCTGTACAACAGTTACTGAAGTATATAACACTTAAGACTGAATCTCCACCAAAGCAGGTGAACTACTGTGCTCCTGCTGTCCCTTTTCCTTGATTATCAGTACAATATCGGAAACTGTACTGATATTAGCATTATGTCTTCCTAAACTGGTCAATGGTAGCTGGTCATGGAGAATTATCTGGGAGATTTTAGCCAATCAGAAATAGACAAATACTTTGAATGAACAATAAACAGATATATAATGAACAACATTTCATGGCTCCATTATTTTGACTAGCTCTAGGTTTGACCTTTTTTTTAACAGCTTGACCAAAACTATCCTTTCAATGAGCAAAAATACAAACTAGTGCATCATTTTATCACCGAATATGATTGACCTCCCTTGCAAAAAGTATACTACTACTTGAAGCCAAATTTTTCCCTTGATCAGAACAGAGATAACTCGTCATGCTTTAACACAAACATCCTTGAGAACAAAGATGTTGACACAATGTCGAATGAAATTTAACAACATTTAGATTTCTTTCAACACTTTCTCAACTAGGTTTCAACATTTAGGTCCGAAAATGCTCAAACTTAAACATCACTTTGTGGAAGTGGAAGATATCACATATGTCATTAAGCTGCACTATTAGCATACAGCAGATATATGGCCAGCATTGGTTTTCTGTAAAGTCCTTCTTAGCTGAGAAAAAGTCTTTTTAAGTGACAAGTGAAAGGGTTCTTATCTGAATACAACAACCACATTCAATGTAAACCCTAATGCCATTGTTCTTTATTTTCTATATCAATCTTTGGTTGTAACCGTTACTTTTGGCAGCATGAAACTCTGAGTAGCAAAACAAATGTCTTCCATCAAATCATCCAGCTTTTTATTTTACTTAATTATGCATGTGTTTTATTTATAGACATATATATGTATAAAATTATTTATAAAAGCACACATATGGTTCATTCCTTCATTATTCACAGGTTTTTTCAGTGCATCTTTGCAAATTGCTGTTATCGATTTCAACCATTTTTTGTTCATAGGTTTTTTCACAGGGTTTTTCAGAGGTGTCTGTCTAGCAATTTTCTGAAAATTTGTTCACAGGTTTTTTCACAGGGTTTTTCAGAGGTGTCTGTTAAGCAATTTTTGGAAAATTTGTTCACAGGTTTTTTCACAGGGTTTTTCACAGGCTTATTTTAGTCACAGGCTTTTTCACAGGGTCCTAAATTTTGAAATTTTCTCAAAATTTAGGCTGTGCAAAATTCACAGGGTTTTTCACAGGGTGTTTTCTTGTCACAGGGTATTTCACATATTTTTCACAGCATTTTCACAGGTTTTCATCCATATTAGTGGGCACAGTAGTTGAAGACTATTCCCCACATGGCATGGGAGGTAAGTCAAATTATTACCAAAAGAATTTCAACCTACGTTCTTAAAAGTAAAAATATTTTGAGGAAACAAATAAAATATATCTTCAAGCTTTCAGCTGTACACATGGGCCCAAATATAATTATTATTCATTCAAAATAACCAGTTTCTGATTGGTTAAAACCCCACACATAATATAAATTCACCATAACCAACTACTGTGGACCAAATTTGGCAAGTATTTTGTCATATTAAAACAATGTTGTAAAATGATCTCAAAAGTGTAGCTAGGTTGCAGGTTATTTAACCGTTGTCCAAGAAAACCTGAGGACAAGGTTCATTTGTTTAGGTCGTGAGAAAAAAATGACCGAACAGTTGATGGCTGAACAGTCGGCAGAACATTTTACTAATTTCATGGCGAAATAAAGACATCTGCTATTTAGAGTACCAACTTATATCTGCAAACTTGGAATTTTTTTGGAATGAATAATATAACAATTGTTGAATTCGGAGGGTGTTATCTGACAAAGTGGATAACACCCTCCGAGATCTGCGTATGTGGATTCTATTCATAATGCTTCTAGGCAATACTTAATGTCCAAAGGAAAATTTGCTTTTGCAGAGAAAACCAACGTGACCTCCGGAACCACTGAGTTGGTACGCTGTGAACAGCGTTTATTGGACGCCTGCCAAGGAGAGGACACCTCCATGCCATGCTTTCTTGTTCACTCATTTGAAGAGGTAATTCATAACTACAACAAAACCCCATTTACACGCACTAAAACAATCGGCACGGCATGCCAAATTTCTGGCAGTGTGCCTCATTTACCCGTGCCGAGACAACCTCCAGGAGGTAGTCTCGGCACCCCTAAATTTTTGATCACTGTTGCCACATTACATTTGGGACCGATACGTTTACACGTCGAAAATTGGGAGTGCTGTGCCTTAAAAATTGGCGTGCCGTGCCGATTTTTTTAGTGTGTGTAAATTGGGTTCAAGATATAGATGGAGCATTTTTTAGCCTTGAAGCAAGTTATGAATCCAAGCTTTACATGATAAAAATTCCAAACAATAATGTTGTGGATGCTCAGGCCTGCAGTGCTGAACTCACTGAGTTAGAAAGCATGACAGAAGACCAGGAAGAAGAGTTTAATCAACTCCTGCCTCCACAAGACCTGTATTTGAGACCCTCTTCCAGCATCAATACTGGAAGAGTGCATGGACGTCTTGTTGCCTGTTTTAACTGAGATGATCAACATATCAATTGGAAACTGCTAATGTGCCGGTGCAACTTAAGGAAGCTATTATAAGGCCTAAACTAAAGAAAGAGTCCCTTGACCATGAAGTGTATTCCAATTTTAGACCCATCTCTAACTTAAAATTTATGTCCAAGATGATAGAGATCACAGATGACGTCAAATATGGTAAAACAGAGAAATGTACACGAGCCGCAGATGATGTACAGACCCACAGCAACATATGGACTCTATTTGTTTTATATACTGTACACATACCTGCCTCGTACCGCTTCACTGTTCGAATTTGTGCTGGTTTAGGCCCAATCGCTACTTTTCGTCTCTGCTTCCTCTTTTTTCTTTATCTTACTTGTAAGCTTATACGGTTTGTTTGGACAGTTTTTGAACGTCTTTTATTGCTCAAAGCAGAATTCTCTCGTAGCGACGACACACGATGGCCACTGTTGAAGATTTCTTGTAGTTTAGAGATTCTCAAGTTGTCATGAGCTCTTTTTGTCTCCGTTTCTCCATTTTTCTTCTTTGTAAATAGCTCCCGCTGGACTTTTTTTCGAGGGACAAAACCACGCGTTACGTTGAATAAAAGAAGAACATGTATAACAAAACAAATTTCCATGTACCTGTACTCTAATAGATCATGCGCAACGACTAATCACAGCCCGTAGCATCACATCATAATCATCGCGCATATATTATAGATGTTAATAATGGTAATTGAACTGAGTGGAGTGCAATTTGGTCTGAAATCATACGCGTGATTTCAAAATCGAACGAGTGCGCAGCGCGAGTTCGATTTCAAATCACAAGTATGATTTCAGACCAAAATTGCACGACACGAAGTTCAATTACCACTTTATTACATCCATGTTGAAATCGCAGAATTTAGTCAGCACTAATATTTTATTGATCGAGTAGCCGGTTCGTTAAAAAGCCGAAACAAAAAGGCTTTTACATCTCATTTTGTATTCGAAACAGACATGATGCGATATAGAACAAAAATGGTGCCATTTAAAACAGAAATGATGCGATTTAGAACATGAATGACGCGATTTGGAACAGATGCAATTTAGAGCAAAAAATGATGCAATTTAGGAATAAATCACACCGCTGAGAGCCAATCAGATTGCACGGATAGCCAGTGATTTCAAAGTGGATGTAATAAAGTTTTTTATGTCATACCAAGATTAATCAAACCACTCGTGACAGTTTCCACTCTATACTGCCCGAGAGCAACACATAACTGGTATATGTATTTTACCATACTTAGCTTTGCTGGCAAGCACGAGAAAATGCCGTCCCAGTAGTGGTAGTGACCCTCAACCCCCAGAAACAAAACGATTCTGGCAGGAAGGAGATTCTGAGGTGAGCATGTACAAAGGAATAACACATCTAACAAGAAATCTCAAATACTGTTCCCATTAGAAAGTCGATCAATTTTATAGAGTCAAGTAGAGGCTGTTTCTTTTTGGAACGCAGCATTGGCGGATCCAAACCTCCAGAAAAGGAGGGTAGGGCGGTCATTTAGACCCTGAAAAAAGTGAGGGGAGGGGGGTGGGGTTGGCCAGCCACCCGGGCGCCCTCCCATGGATCCGCCATTGCACAGTAGTAGTGCACTACATTCAAATGTACTTGAACTATATCTTAAATAAAAGTTGATTATGTATACTCTCTCCTGGCTCTAGTAGTTTCTTCCTTTTAAGGAAGGAACAAAATGCTCACTATCATCTTCGACCATTAATTCATATCTTCACTTGACAGGGGTCTCCGATACCTAATGGGAATGGGACAAATGACAGGCTGTTTCTATTGGATGGCAGAGACATCCTCCATCGATGGCCGGAGAGGTAAACGATTTGTATTTGCATTATCGCTTACCAAAACTGATATTGAAAGTGCAATTGTCGGTGCAGACAGAATGAAAAAAAAATCATGAAATAATTTTCCTACTCTTTAACCTCCTTAACTTTGTTCCCAAAAATGACCATTGATCGAAGGTTATACTGAACTGCGAGACAGAGGAATCCATACTTCTTCATGTATATTCTACTAAAACAGTCTAGGGAAACTAAGTAATAAAAAACATCCAGTAACTGTCAGATTTGTGCCTTACAGTTTGCACCCTTTTTGGTGTGCGATACATCGCCGACACACTGATGATATTGTCGCCATCATCAACTTCGGCCACACTCACATTGGTTAAGGAGTTCCAAGGTAGGTGAAATAATTAGCACCAAGAAAATTAACTCTCGTATGGAATGTGTATTCTTTCATTTGGATATTCAATATTTTCGTTTTTTGTTATCGCGTTCGTCAAAACGCATCCTAATCTGGTGTGCATGTGGCACTAAGGCCCAGTTCAGACGTCGTGCTTCTGCCGTGCCGAACTTAATTGTAATTTTGTGCGACTGTAGCACGGCAGGAAAATAACTTTGATTCAGACGTCGTGCCAGAGTCGAACCAAATTCAGGATTTACTGATGCCTCGTAACAATTCTTCTCCCAACTCCCCGTGGGAACGCAATCTCGCCAAAATACATTAATATAATTTATGAATTTTGTTTAGCGCGGCAGAAGCACGACGTTTGAATCGCTGCCGTGCCAGAGCCGTGTAGCACGGCAGCGCTTGTCGAACTTAATTGCTTGCCGAACTTAATTCAAAAGTTTGATTCAGACGCCGTGCTTCTGCCGTGCTTTTGTCGAACTTAATTCCTGAATTTAGTTCGGCACGGCAGAAGCACGACGTCTGAACTGGGCCTAAGGTAGAAATGTTCTAGCTATCACGGGTTTGGATTCCGTGATCTTTGCGTAAAATTTACGTTCGCAAATAAAATAGAGGCAATGTATGAAAGGTGGCACATAAGTTTAAACTAGAACCTCGCCCAACTTCACGTTTAATCTCAACACTTTATATATTGCCTCAATTTTTTTCACGATAACGTGATAATAGCGTTAACGTGCGTAGCCAAAAACGCGTCAGTCGAAATTATACTTAACTGAGGAACGCGTATCCTCTAGTTTAATACTAATCAGTAACCGTAACCCGGTACTATGAAAACGTTCTGATTATTTGTGTTTTGTGGGGGTAATCACTCTAATAAATTGGTGTGTTTTTTGGCATGTAACTGTCAGTTTAAATACATGTACCCGGCTAAACAGTAATTTGTTCTCAAGACCAGTTAAACAGGGATCACTGCAAAATTTAGAGTCACCCCAGCTGTTGGGTATAGTGTGTCGTTTAGCCTTTTTATTCAGAAAGGGAGGAAAAGTCAACCTTTTTTATGTGTATTTTCAGACAGCAACATGGACACACAGAAGCTCCGGGAAGTTATCCGTGAAGCAAAGGATAAATGCCAGCAGTTATCTGCGGAGAGGTACGTTCCTTGTTTATTGAGACAAGATGTCGCTAACAAAACAGGAAAGAAATCCCAATATTTCACTAAGGGCTAGATTTTTTTATCCCTAAAATCGGTGCTGAACATTATGCTTTATCTAAAATATAATTTTAGCTAAGGATAAAATGAATTATTTAACCACAAGTAATCCATGACTAGACACACACCTTTGTCGCTTTCATTCCTCGAAAATGGTCCCATAAATAATTGACCTAAGGTAGTAGAAGGCAAAACCGTGTTCGTTAAAATGTTTATCACCGCAGGAAACGATTAAAAATCTACATTTCTGGAATATTAATGAATAACATTATAATAAATAAATAAATAAATGACCTATCATGCCTGGTTGAGGCTGTGAAGAAAGCTAAAGAAGCTGGTGCTTTGTTGTCTCAACAAAGGTACGTTCTTTTTTCCGAAACAAAGATTTCCAAGCTGATAATAGATCGGGACCGATGTGTTTCTTTGGAAGTAAGCGAGGGCGTTATTCCACGCACACATGCAATACAGAAGGCTTCACATATGAACATAGTCTTATGCTCTGTCTGCTCCGATTCACTGGTAACAAAAAGAGAAGAAAAGAACTTGTGAGCTCTATTAATGGAAGATTGTTTACTACGCAGGGAGAAAATTTCCAAATGGAGAGCGCAAAGAATTGCGCAGGATGAAGAATTGCGAGAAGCTGGTGCAAGTGGGGGTAGTGCAAAGTCCAGCCAAAAAAAGGGGGAAGAAGGCAAGGGTGACGATGGCGAGCTAAAGATCATTGAAAAGGTAAAGATAAACAATTCTGTAGAGTTCCTACAACTTTCTTTGAGTAAAAGGCAAATGATAGTTCAGTGTTTGTTGGCATGGGTTATGACGCTGATCTCGTCCAATAGCTGATGACGAATAAGGTCTTTTGGCCCCTTTTATAAGAGGAAACGTTGTCCCGGGTAAGAGGGCCACCCTCCCAGCCGAGGTAACTTTGGCGAGCGTTTATATGAGAAATATGTCGACCTCTTTACCCGAGCCGAGAGCTGCCTTCTCAGTTTTGCCAATGACAACAGCGCTCGGGCGTGCTCTGATTGTCTCGCTTTGTCAGAGTTGTAACAACGGGGCGAGATAAAGAGTTTATAAAATTAATGGAGAATAGTTGGCCCGGCAGTAAGGGTGACCCCACCATCGGAAAAGCGAGACCCAGCGAGGCAAGTCTTCCTTATAGATATGACTTGGGTTACACAATAATAGTTGACAATGAAGTAAAAGTGAACCCTCTTGTTGATTATCATTAGCAGAGACGGATAAGAGAGGCGAGGACGGTAAGAGTATCCGACGAGCCAGAAAGGGGCGTATATATACGCCTTAGAACAAACTTGGGAACCAGGTCGAGGAAATTCAGAAATGGAGCTCAATTCCAGGTAAGACGCAATATTACGTTTCCAGGTTTTATTAGAACTGTAAGTTAATTCAAGGCTCGCTCCGTGATAATACGAGGATATCATTAATTTATGTTCTGTTCGGTTTCTGCAGTTCGTAAGATGGATTTGAGAAAAGGTTTATGCTTTTCATGATATAGAAATGAACGGTTTTGTTTTTTTAAAACGCGATGGAGTGACAGCAATATTGTTTGTTCGAAAACATGTTTAAAGCTACTTCTCGATAGCATTAAGGTAAGCACAAACGCAAGCACGAACAAACACGAGTGCTCTCTTTTCACCGTGAAAACGGCTCTACGCATGTCCATTTATGCTACCGTGTGCGTTTGTGTTCACTAACACAAGAGTCCGCTCTTATGCTTGCGCTTGTACTTGCATCGCCAGTGAATCCAGGGCCTAAGACTTCAGTTTGCAAAAGATTAAAAAACGGTTTCATTACGTCATCTTAAAACATTATGACAAACTAAAATCCCAGAAATAAAGTCCTCAGCTCCACAGAATAACACCAACGTTCATTTAGTCTTCACAGTCTTTCGCCGCGTGTCTAATGTTTCCACAAATTATGGATTTCTTATAATTTTATGACAGGAGGTATATGACTGGGCTGGTGCTATGCAAGACATGCCGTTATATTTTACATTACACCGGGGTCAAACATTACTGACCCACGATGAGAGGGTTGGCCCTTTTGACGAGACTCTGGACATGACGGAAAGAGTAAGTGGAGGCCGAATTTTGTGTAGCCTCATCTCTAAACTGATGTAGTTATTTTATGGTCAAATAACTGAGCCTGGATTTTGTGAAAAGCTGAATTGGTGATTTTTGCGATCATCAAGCACCTTATTCATGTGGGAAGCAATCTCAATCTCTCTCTCAGGAATAATATGAGGCGGATAAACGAACATACAATATTTTTTTGGTCAAACATGCGAAACCACTGAAATACAATGTCGAGAGAGGCGGCTGAACAGCAAAACGTGCAATTCCAATGTGACGCTGTAAGATTCAAAAGCATAAAAAATACAACTGTGACGTATACGAACTTTTTTTGGTGATTGTTCTCCCAATTTTTCTACACAGGACGAAGAGGAAATGACTTCATCTTTTCCCTCTGAGGTTAGAAAGAACACAATAATGTATGGTTCGATTCTACCTGTAACCAATAGACCACCATGTTAGGGGAAAGCTGCAGAAACCGGCCCTGGAATGTGTCCGGAGGGGTGGTAACAGGTAGAATTTAACCATGCATAATCCGTGCATAATTCGTAAATTTAGAATGTATCGTGTTCTGTCGACAACAAAAGCACAGTTAATATAAAAAGCAATGAAAAGGATCGTTATAATACAAAGTTAGACAGAAGCAGATTTTTCTCATTGTTGAACAGAGGTTTTGTCTACACTTATAGAGTAAAGACAGTTAGGAATACAAACGTAGTAGTGTCAATTTCCGAGAGTAAGTAAGGGCCACCGATACAGGACCAGGGTAAAATTGTAATCGGTTCTATCTTAATAATAAAGAAAAGCCCATTTGAAATTGAAACAAGAAAACGGGAACTGTATCCCACAAAGAAAAATTGAATGAAAACAAAGAACAACAAAAAAGGGACAAGGGAAAAAGAAAAGAAATCCCCCATGACAAACGAAACCTCTGTAACTGAGTCAGGACGCGTAGGACCCCAATGTTCTTAGAAACTTTTACCCAAATGACAGACTTGCAACAGACTTCTCCATCAAACCACGACACTTGGGACCAGGTTCTTGAGAAGTTCAACCCAGACAACAGACTTCTTAATTGAGCCAGGACACTTGGGACCAGGCTCTCCGTGAGCCAGGACACTTGGGACCAGGCTCTTGAGAAGTTCAACCCAGACAACAGACTTCTTAATTGAGCCAGGACACTTGGGACCAGGCTCTCCGTGAGCCAGGACACTTGGGACCAGGCTCTTGAGAAGTTCAACCCAGACAACAGACTTCTTAATTGAGCCAGGACACTTGGGACCAGGCTCTCCGTGAGCCAGGACACTTGGGACCAGGCTCTTGAGAAGTTCAACCCAGACAACAGACTTGTTAATTGAGCCAGGACACTTGGGACCAGGCTCTCCGTGAGCCAGGACACTTGGGACCAGGCTCTTGAGAAGTTCAACCAAAACAACAGACTTCTTAATTGAGCCAGGACACTTGGGACCAGGCTCTCCGTGAGCCAGGACACTTGGGACCAGGCTCTTGAGAAGTTCAACCCAGACAACAGACTTCTTAATTGAGCCAGGACACTTGGGACCAGGCTCTCCGTGAGCCAGGACACTTGGGACCAGGCTCTTGAGAAGTTCAACCAAGACAACAGACTTCTTAATTGAGCCAGGACACTTGGGACCAGGCTCTCCGTGAGCCAGGACACTTGGGACCAGGCTCTTGAGAAGTTCAACCAAGACAACAGACTTCTTAATTGAGCCAGGACACTTGGGACCAGGCTCTCCGTGAGCCAGGACACTTGGGACCAGGCTCTTGAGAAGTTCAACCCAGACAACAGAGTTCAAAATATAAAATGTAAGAAGCCGTGGGAAGTGAATATGAATAGACCCTTGTCCTATTTTCGGTAATGAACTGTAACTATCTTAGTGTCAAGACTTAGGTGGAATTTAAGGCACCGTTAGTAAGGTGTTTGGCCCACTATTTGGCATTTCTGGGAAGTATTCTACCCACGAACGACAACAGTTGTCCCACAGAGGGACATGCTCGTTGTATTTTCGTGGGGAGAATACTTCCCTTTCTTTTTTTCTTTTTTTTTTCAGGTGTCTTTCAAGGGAAGCCTTCCATGCGGCAGTAAAGACCTGTCAGATACTATAGAAGGTAAGGAAACTTACTGTGTTATCAACAATAAACTAACATTTGGCACAAGAAAACACAATTAGGACGGAACACACCTTACTTCTGGTATCAGTTGAAAGCCTATGTTCATCCTAGATTTAATGTGGTAGTTCGTTTCTTTTTTTCCTTTTTTTTAAATTAAATCATCTTAAATCGAAAACAAGTTCAGCTATTCAAGAATAAGTTAAATCAGCCTGAAATCATTCGCCCTATGACGGCATAGTATTCTAAAATTACAAACAAATGGATACGGTGTCTTGGAGGAAAAAAAAAATTACAACTGAAGTTTAACACTAGAAATATGTGTCAATCGCAGTGCCTCCACGAAACTCGGCGCAGGTTAGCCGTGCACGCAGACGTCGTAAGGGCTGGTTCACTCGCTTCTCCCCCGCTAATGAATACTCGTGCAAAAAACCACTGAACGTCAACTTGTTGCATCACACAGAGCTAGTCACCAGCTGCAAAACACATGGATTGGCAAAGTGACCCAATCTGAAGTTTTTTGGTTAATTTTGTTTTTAAATGTCAACGACAATGTCATCGTAAAAGTCCCATTGAAAAAAAAAATTGGATACGGCCCGTGACTGGTCCGCGCTAACGGATGAGATGTCCATGGCAGAGAAACGCGTGACAAAACCCTAAGTACGTTTTCGTCGTAGGGAGGCCAGGCGCAGGTGCACCGTAAATGATTCTAGTTTGAGATGCGCCAGCTGATTTATCAAGAAGCAGATCATTTTAGGAAATTAAAGATTAAAGGGTGGTTATTTTCATTGACAGATGAAAGGGAGGACCCAGAAGAGGAGGCTGCGGAAGAGGAGACTGCGGAAGTGGCGCAAAAGAAAAAAAGAAACAGAAAAGATAAAAGGACGACTGCTTCGCGGGAAAAGAAGAAAAAAAAAGAAAATGACAAAAATCTTTAGTTGTTAATAATTTTTCCTACATTAAAGATAAAGTTATGATTAAACCAAGAAGTAAGACTGGGATGATCCCTAGGTATTTTCTTAACATGTGAAAACAACGCTATGATCGAGATTTACTATTTTTTTCTTCTTTCTAGTACTCAAGATGCATGAGTAGAGTTAATATTGTCTACAAAAAGGGGACCATTTGATATTGTGTATTTGACAGATAAAAATGAAATTAAATTTGCTTAAAATGTTCTGAGCCTCTAAGATTAGAAAAAACCCAAAAGCTCACATGAGCGTGTCCATGGTGAAACGATTTGGATTGCTCAGAACAGAGTTGATTTTGCTTATCTTCGTTCATACATGTATATAAAGGAGCAAACTATTTAGCTCTTAAAAGTCCATGGTTACCAACGTGATTTTGTGAGTTGGTGTTTTTGTTTTGAAACCCTGCCTTTGTCAAACTTAGAAGGTGTTTTGACTGGGCAGAGTGTTCTTTTTTTTTCTCGCATGGCCAAAGCGCCATTCTACACACACTGAAGGGAGAAACTTTAAATTTGACGAAATTATTAGTATTATAGGGCGAGCAAAACCGCATGGGTGAACCTGCGCCTTATTTTAAAAGGCAACCGAATTAGCCTTTGGTTGCACGTGACGTTTTTGGCCTCTCTCGTTATAGCTTGAGTATCAAGCGTTTCTGGATGAGAAGGGGGAAGATAGGAGCGAAAAAGAGAGAGAGAGCTAAAATCTCCTCTCCAGTAGCCCATAAGGATGGCCTGATACTCAGGCTACCCTCGTTATAGGTTTAAAAGTAGAATAGTAATATTAAATCATTATATTTTTCTGTTTCATCAGTGAAGTGCTTCGTTAAGGCCCGAATACAAAAATATATTTCCAAAAGAACATTGCATAGAAAATCAAAACCAGATTTGATGAGCGCTATTAATATCATTAAGAATAATAACTGATTAGAGTCGTGTGTTAATAGAGCAGTGTACTTTTTTTCAAATTATCAACTTTATTTATTGAGTGGTTTTTTTTGTTAGTATTATCAATTGTTCCTTATTTTTATCCTCTTTTGTATGGCCGCTGGCTAAGTTGATTTGTGTGAGAACCTTTAATGTTATCCTCAGTTGAAATGCAAATAGAATTTTTCTCTTTCTTATCAAAAATGTTGTTGTCGTAATTATTTGCTGGTGTCTTTTCAGTCTTATTTTCCATCTTTAACCTTTTCTACCTAGGGGTGCCTACCTTTTACAAAAACCAAAAAACTTTTCAAAAATCTTGAAAATATAAATATGACTATTAACTTTCACATAAAAAAGAACGATCTGCTGAAATGTAAAAGAGTTCTCTGCAAATTTGAATCACCTCACAATGGTTTATAATCTGAGGATTCCCAAGCGGAATGGCGCGAACCAATTGATTTTCGGCTTACCCATGTATAAATAAAGTATTTACCCCAGACGACCCCAGAAATTATCTACGCTCAATCGTTCGTTGCCATTGCCCTTACAAGTGAAAAACCGCATTACATTATTTCCCTTCTCTGATATTTTGAAGCCAGCGCATGGCTATTTTTTTTAGGGGATATCTTTCTGACTTTTTTGGACTTAACCTTCCCCAGGCAAATACCTTTTCTAGTTTTTGAACGAGTCCCTACGAAAACGAAAAATCGAGTCTCGTTTTGGGCCCTACGTTTTAGAGAAAAATCGAGTCTCGTTTTGGGCGCCACGTTTTAGTTTAACGTGTCTCGTTTTTGAAACGAGTCATCGAGACAGGTGGAAACGAGACTCGATTTCACGTTTTCGGTTGGACTGGCGAATACGTAATCGAGAGGCCTTAAAATCGAGACGATTTTCATCGAGTAATTTACGACACGTTGCCCAGAGACGGTGAATGATCCGACTGGCGAATACGTAATCGAGAGGCCATTAAATCGAGACGATTTTTATCGAGTAATTTACGATACGTTGCCCAGAAACGGTGAATGAT